CCCCCCCCCAAAAAAAAAGTGAATATTCCAACATGTGAACATTTCTCCCTAGTCTAGTTGATTATACTATAAAATCTTCAACAGATAATACTACATTTCTTTGTCCCATTAGTGCTTTGCCTCTCTATTGTTCTTCTAAATGTCCTTCCTCAGACTCTACTCTTTCACCCACAGTATGCCTGGTATTCACAACCACTTACAGTGTTTCTAAATCCTTTAGTCGATCAGTTTCAGTCATAGAGTGAAGGCACTTGGTATATATTAAGTAGGGACATACAATGTCTCTCCTTCATAGCTTGGCTTGCTTCACTCAGCAGTAAATCTTCCATATTCATCCACTTTCTGTCAAGAGCCATGATCTTGCTTTTTATTACTGAAAAGTATTCCATAGAATATATGTGCCATAGTTTTTTCAATCCATTTTTTTTTTCATCCATTTGTGGGCATTTGGGTTGGTTCTATGTCTTAGCAATTGTGAATAATGCAGCAATAAACATTGATGTACAGCACTTTTCCAATTAAGAATTCTTCTGTCCTTCGGGTAGATACCAAGGAGTGGGATTGCTGGATCATATGGTAGTTCTATTTGTAGATTTTTGAGGAATCTCCAAATTGTTCTCCACAGTGGCTGGACCAATTTACATTCCCACCAGTAGTGTAAGAGAATTTCCCCTTTTACCACTCCCCTGCCAGCACTTATTATTTTTTTTTAGAGGTTTTTGCTATATGGTGTATGCACTCACCCAAAAGACAGAGAGAGATGGAGAGATAGAAAGCAAGAAATCACCCCCCAGTGCACACTGGGCCACACCGCAATCCCTTCTCCTCCATTCTCCTCTCAGGATCTTGGGCACACACGCATATGTGCCCGGCGTGAGTTTAAGCCACTGGGTCCAGTACTCAAACCATGGTCGACTACATGGGAGTTCAGCGACATAGCTATTATACTAACTGCTGGTCCCCATTTTTTGTTTGTTTGTTTGTTTGTTTTAATCTTAGTCATTCTGACTAGGGTTAGGTGGTATCTTGTTGTTTTGATCTGCATCTTCCTTAAAATGAGGGATGTTGAGAATTTTTTTATATGCCTTTTGGCTATTTGTATGTCATCCTTAGAGAGTGGTTTTTACAACTCATTCTCCAATCTTTTAATAGGGTTGATCATCTTTTTTCAGAACAGCTGCTTGAGTTCCTTGTGTATTCTGGTTATCAGTCCCTTATCTGATGCATAGTTTACAAAAATATTTTCCCATTCTGAGGGCTGTTGATTCACACTAATTACTGTGTCTTTTGCTATGTAGAAATTTCTTAGTCTGATGTAATCCAACTTGTCTATTCTGGGGATTGACTGTGCTTTGGGGGTCTTATTTAAGAAGGCTTAGCCTACCTCAATGTCTCCCAGAGTCTCCCCAGTGTTTTCCAGGAGTAGTTTTATAGTTTGAGGTCTTAGATTTAGATCTCTGATCCACCTTGACTTGATTTTTGTCAAGGGTGAGAGGTAGGAGTTCAGATTTATCTTTCTGCAGGTGGAAATCCAGGTTTTCCAGCATCATTTGCTGAAGAAGTTTTCCTTTTCCCACTGGATTGACTAATACCTCTTGTCAAAATGTGCTTTTTTGATTATCACAGCTTTGCAGTGTATTTTTGGGTCTGGGAGTGAGATGCTGCCCACTCCACTCTTCTTGTGCAGGATTGCTTTGGCAATATGGGGTCTTTTATGATTCCAGACAAACTTTATGATTGTCTTTTCTAGATCTGTGAAGAACGTGTCTAGCACTTTGATTGGGGTTGCATAAAGTATGTAGATGAATTTGGGTAGAATTGCCATCTTGATTATATTAATTCTTCCAATCCAGGAACATGGGATGTC